ATAAGGACAATGGGGTTYTTTTGCTAAATTAACTGCTGAGAGACCTGGACAACCCAGCCTTTCTGCAGACAGCCTTTCCCTGCTCCTGTCTCCAGCAGCGACAGAATTCCAGCCTTGTCCTCACCTCTTTGATCAGACTGGCCACGTAGAGAGCRCTCAGGGGGGTTTGCTCAGCCACTTTCATAACAACCACATTCCCAGTGGCCAGGGCAGGCCCCAATTTCCAGGCCTGCATCAACAGCGGGAAATTCCACTGAAAAACAAAGAGGGATTTGCTGGTGTGAATTTGAAAGCCTCTGATTATTCAGTAATTAAACAGTGAGCTCCACTCAAATCAGCACTCCTGGAAGAGTCTTGGATCTTTCCCYATCACACAGAATTTCGGGGTTATAKCTAGGTAGTAGATTAAACTTTATTGTAGGTTCCTGTCAGGTAACTCCTATAAATTGAGGTTAAAGCCCCCGTTTTTTTTTTTAATCAGCAGACACAAAGTAAAGCTTACTCAGAACTTGAAATCAACAGGCAGTTCTGTACTCCCAGAGTGAAGCAAGAGCCCTTCCAGCTGGTGCAAGCCCAGCTTTGTTTACCACTGAGAGGAAGCAGTGGTTAGCRACAGATAGGAACTTACAGTGTAACACTGAATTCTTGCAATGCTGCAGGAACTGCTGCTATGTTTTACTCACCGGGATAATCTGTCCACAAACTCCCACTGGCTCGTGTCTTGTGTAGCAGAAGAAGTCTCCATCTAATGGGATGGTTTTGCCATGGAATTTATCTGACCAGCCTGCAAAGTATCTGGAAACAATAACATTTGTTTAATTACAGAAATTAAAATAATAATTCTGCTGCCAACAGAAAATAAGAGAGGCTTCCTGCAGCTATTTGCTTTCTCCCCTTTTTCAGAAAACACAACCATGCCGGTGTTTCCCACACAGGTGATTTAAAGAATGGACAGCAAACAGAAATATTTGTGTCTCCCATTGTCATTCCTGTGCTGTAACAGATCACCACCGTTCATGTGCATTTTGCAAGTCAGAAAAATTACAGCAAAAAGTAAATCCAAGGTGTCTGATACCCTGCTATAAAACCAACAGTGAGATCCAGATCCCACCACACCCACCTGAGACATTTGACCACCATGTCCAAATCCACCAGRTAGGAGATGGCGTAGGGTTTGCCATTATCCAGAGTTTCCAGGGCCTGCAAAAGACAGCGAGGTTTCCTGAAGAGCTGTGGCCAAGTCACATGCACAGCCTTGAGTCAGCTCTCAGTTTGCTGGATCTGTCCTGCTTTTTGGCCTTTCGCTCTCAGCTTCCCAAAAACACTTCTCTATCCTTTTTGAGTGTGTCCCAGTGGATGAAGTGGATGAAACCCCCAGCCCACCCAGTGGACACAACCCCACCGTGTTTTTCTGTCCCCACACAACACTCACGGCCAGGTAGGCGCGGTCCCTCTCGATCAGGTCAGCCAGACGGTTCAGCAGCTTCCCCCGGTGAGATGCATCCATCCTCCTCCAGGGAGAGCCCAGCTGGAACGCTGCCTTGGCTGCCTTGACGGCCTTGTCCACATCTGCCTGCAGGGGAACCCAGGCAAAAGGTGAGAGAGGAGTAACCAGCCCCCACTCCCTCTCTGCAAACAACAGGAGAGAACAGCCTCCAGCCAGACTGCACAAGAGGCTGCTCAGGCTTTTGGGGGAAGAACCTGCAGCTTTGGTGCTCCTTGGTGCCAGGGCAGGGGAGCACATGGGTACAGCCCCTGGGCCAGTTTTCATGAGAACAAACCCTGCACTGCACTGGACACAGCTTTCCCACCCAGGCTGCATCAGTGAGAAAAAGGAGCAGCAATGGCARTGGACCAGATGGGTGCAACAGCTGTGCAGCCACAACTTCTGCCTGTGCTCACTCTCTGTTATTTCAGCTACACAGAGTGCAAATATCATCAGGTTATTGCTGCAATGTCACSTGCTGGGTTCATATTTGCATCCTGGAAAAAGCAGGGGAAAAGCTCTGGAARTCTGCTTTTGGCACTCTTTCAGAATGCAGTCTAAAGGAGTTTATCCTTGATCAGCTGTCTCTGATCCATGATTTTTTCCTGTCAGGGCATTTGCTGGTTCTTGGTYGGTTCTCTGTCCTGGCTTGCTGCAATGGTCTCGCCAGGACAAGCCAGGCTGCCCCAGAGAAGCAAACAACAAAGGGTTTTCCTCACTCACTCCTCCCTTGGGGAATGCACACAAGTTTCCAGACTGCAGAAAAAACCCAAAATTGCTGGGAAACACCACCTCAGCTCTGCCACAGACTCCCAGGAGGGCCTTGCATAAGGCAGGGGATGATTACACTACTTTATTCCTCACCGTTTCACTTTTTTTTATTTTCTAGGGCTGGGATTTGTCTCCCACTACATGTGTGCAGCAGAAAGGGGCTGTGAGGAGAAGCCTGACCTTCTGTGTCCTCTGCCACCACGACTCTGGGTCACACTGCACCCACAGGACCACTAAGGTGCCTTCATCCCTGCTGCCCACATCTGCTCCCAAACCTCCCAACTCCAGCTCCACTGCACTCCTCATCTGTCCCTCTCCTGACTCGGTGCTGGTAAGAGGCAAATCCAGAGGTTTTTTTTGGGAGTGGCAATCAAGGAAGAACACAAGCAGCACTTTGCATGGCTCAAACACCACGGCAAACACGGCCCTCATGGAGCTGCCCAGGTGAGAGGTGGGGTGGTGTCTTCCTCTGCAACCCCTGTGGAGCTGTTCCCATGGAAAACAAACCCAAYTCATCCCAACAACATTTACCTTATCGCCCTCAGCCACCTGGCAGATGACTTCTCCTGTGGATGGGTTGATGGTAGGGAAGGTTTTCTTGCTGACTGCATCGTGCCATTCGTTATTTATGAAAATCTGCAAGGAAAAAGCCAGGCAGGGCTAAGCCTTCGAGCCAGAGCCCRGGGAAATCAGGGGAGCTTTGGTTCTTTGATGGCATCTGAGGAGGCTGGTTAATTAAAAGGGGCTTAACTTGACTTGTGTGGGCTCCAAACCTGCAGCAATATGAAGGAGATACTTTAGCCTGAAAGCACACAACACAGCCTCGAGTGAATAAAGGAATTCACAGCTCAGCAAACAGCACGTGAATTGGAAGAGATTCTCATCTTGGTAGGTCCTTGCAAAAGCTGGAAGCTTGGAGACTTAACAGTGGGAAAATGCTTTGRGCATGGACAAAACAGTCAGTTGATTTTGTCCAGAGCAACAGAGCCTTTAGAGCATTTCTTATGGTCTTATAAGTCTAATGGGTCTTTCCCAATCTAAATGATCCTATTATTTCCCAGMTTAACCGATTTTAAACTCCCCATGCACCAGAACCAGGTACTAACAGAAGCTTTTTACCAACACTTTCTTTCTAAGGGTATTTTTTTTTTTTTTCAGGTCTATGGCAAGACAGTGGGAGTGCAAAGATCGTGGTGCTTGCCAAGAACTTGCTGAACACTAAGACAACCACCAAGAGCCGGGGCACAGCCACTGGGGAGGGAGTGGCCGGGTGCCTTGGAACGCTGCCCTCCACCAGCACCTCGCACAGGTGACCCCACAGGATTTTCCYTGAGCAAGGGTCTAAATGTCTGCAGATAACCAACCAGGCACTTTCCTCCCTCCCCTCCCTTCCCGTGCCCTTTCCCAGAGTTCTTTCCTGAGGTTGTTCGCACCGATGCGGGGTTGCTGCACCCACCGCGGGCATGGGGACAGAGCCGGGACACGTGCCCTGTGCCCCGCACCTGCGGCTGCACCCTGCCCTGCTCTTTTCCAAGGCTTCGGGCCCGAATCCCGGCTGCTCCAGGCACAGCGTCACCCCGAGCTGGCCCAGCCCCGCACCGGGCTCGTCCCCGAGGACACGGCACCCCCGAACCCCCCGGCCCAGCCCGGTTACCCCGGGATCGCGGCGCGGCCCTACCTTGTTATAGGCGATATCGGGGCGCGGGTTGGGTGCCGGGATGGGGGAGGCGGCSGCGGCCGAGAAGGGAGCCCGGAGCAGGGCCGGGCAGAGCCGGGAGCCGCGCACCACCGCCCGCAACATGCTGAGCTGAGCCCGAGCTAAACTGAGCCGAGGCGAGCTGAGCTGAGTTGAGCCGGGCCGGGCCGGGCCGGGCCCCGCAACTCGGGACAGCCCCGCTCCGCCCTCCCGCTCCGCCCCGGCACCGCTGGGCACCGCCCACCTCGGCTCGGAACGGCTCGGTGCTGCTCTRCACGAGCAGAACCAGCTCGGTGTGCTTGGTTCGGGTGGAATCGGCTCGATCCAGCTCGGTTCGGGCAGCGCGATTTGGCTCAGCTCGGCTCGGCACGGTCCCGTTAGGATCYGCTTGGCGCGGCTCAGCTCGGCTCGGTGCAGCTTAGCACCATTCGGGTGGGTTCAGCCCAGTTCAGTCCGAATCGGCTCGGTTTGGTGCTCCGGGGGTGCCTCTTCCGTGCACAGCACCAGCACTGACTGTCCCTGTCCCTGTCCCATCTCTGCTTTCTCCCTGTGCATACCCAGGGAACTTTGTGCCTCACTGCCAGCAACAGTTAGGAAAAAAGCGGAGAAAAAAACAGAAATATCTCCGCTTAGCTGGTTGATTTTGAGGGAAAGTGATGAGGGAAAATTTGGGGACCTGGACCCCCGGTTCCATGGATGAGCTACCAGTACCATCCACCCAGGCATCCAAAAAACTCCCGTGTGCAGGGGCAGTGGAACAAAGCCAGGGGAGTGCTTTCACAACCGGGAGTTTCTCGGTGAATGCAAATGAGAAGCTTTGTGAAATCGCTCCCAACAATGGCTAAAGGGCTTTTTTTCTGGTTTGTTTTAGATACCTTGTGCAACTTCAGCGTATCCAAGCGCAGATTCACGTGCAGGGGACAGAGGTGTGCTCGGATTATCAACACCATCGCTAAGGAAGCCACAGACCAAAAACACAGAGGTTTGAACCTCTAAAAATGAGACTTGTGGTATTGCCCTGTGTAAGAGACTGCATCTCTGGCTTCTTCAGTGAGAAGTTTGTAAAGGGTAACAGGGACGGCTCTGGTTTATTACAGACGACAGAAAAACCGTAGAATGTGTGAGTTCAGGAAGTTTCTGTCCCARATGGTCCGGGTCGCTGAAAGCCTTGCTGGAGGCTCCTGCATTTGCACTTTCCAGGCATTTCTCTCGGGAGAGGGGACTGTCAGCCCTTTGGGGCAGGGAGGAACAGCACAGCCCAGAGAGGCAAAACGCCCGCCCGAGGTTATCCAGCAGGACTCGGATTAGGCTGTGTGTTTCCTGGATCAGTCGAAAAGAAATCCTCTTGTGCTGGATCTCAGCCCCTCTCATCCTTGGCCGCCCGTATCCCTTGAAGGGTGATGGATTCCCTTCCTTGCTCCGACAGTGGCTCCTGGGCAGCCCTTTAGGAAGCGGCACTCRCAAGGACCTCTTGTTCCAACGTGTCCTCGCTCCCGTTGCAGCCCTGCGCGTGTCAAACCCCCTGTGGGAGATGCCAGACCTGTTCTACCTGCAGAGATGTGCCCGATCTCCCAGAGGGAGCGGCTCGGGCTGCGCATCCACCGGGCACGTCACGGAGCTGAGCTCCCGCTCGGGGCTAAGCTCCTCTGTGTGTCCTCTCGGTGTTTTCTGCTGATCCCGACACGGACAACGCGTGACATTGAGCACTAATCCTGTGATAAATAAAGCTTTTCCTTCTCTCCAGCAGCCCCTTTCCTCCCCTGGGGGTCGGAGACAACCCAGCAGCACTGAAACACCTTCAGGGCCGAGCCTGCTCGAGGAGGTGGGAGGTGCAGCAGTCAGGTGCCTGCAKGGAAACCATCCCAAATGTCTGGGCTGGGCAGATACAGGCTCGGCTCCCTCCCCCTTCCACAGCAGAGCCAAATGCCTGAGGCTGAGGTGCAATTTCAGCCTGGAGCTTGGGAGAATCCAAGGCTCAGGTTACGGCTTCTCCACAGCTTCTTGTGCTGAGCAGCCAGCACGGCCCCCCGGGGCTCCTCACAGCACCCCTTGTGCCCCTGAGGGCTGGGAGGTGGGGGCCACCCTGGGCTGATGGATGTGGTCCACGCAGGAGGAGCTGGGGAATCCAAAGAACTGTGCCCATCACTTTAATATTGAATTAATACTACGTATAAATTGCTCATGCTCATCAAGTTACCGTGATTGTTCCCACAGTTCTCCCCTTGCTCTGGCCTCTGTGAAGCACTGAAAGCTCCCCGATCCAGTCTGCATCGTCCATGGTCCCCAAAGAGACCCCCAGAGAGCCACTGCACTCGTGGGACCATGGAGTACTCCCAGTTYCTTCCAGCTCCACAGGGCAGGCACTGCCTCAGCTCTGGAGTCTCCCCTGAATCCAGACACCTGGAGGATTGGATTCAATTCCTCCCACCACCAAGGACCCTTCCAGCATCTGCAAGTTGTTGGAGGTTGTGCTGAAGGAGGAGAGACATGCTGCTCCGTTCTCTTTATTCCCAAAACCAAGTATTGCACCCCTAGCCATGTCATTCCCAACCACCTCTCCCTGCTGCAGGACCAGCTTCCTGCATCCTCATGATCCAAGGATGGATTCTGCCCTGTGTTGAGTCAGGCAATAAAGGCACTGAGCACAGATAATACCAAACACCACTGGAATTGAGAAGCTCATTGAAGAGCCCTTAGCACGGCCTCTCCCATGGCAGAGTGGCTGGTTTGGGTCCCCATTTGAGGTTTCCCAGTTCTGCAGCTCCTGGCTCAGCTCTGGTTTGGAGAGTGAACCCCACAGGACACTCAGCTCAGGTCCGGGGGAAGTGCYGGGCTGGAGTTTGTGTCATGGAGATGTTCTGCTCCAGGAACCTGTGGGAAAGTGAGGTCAGAGCCTTCGTGGGCACACCAAGGGCTGCAAGACCAGGGCAGGATGGCAGCAAATGCCATCAGGGATCCCACAACAGAAACAACCTCAACAGGGATCCCACAACAGAAACATCCTCAACAGGGATCCCACAGCAGACAGGACAAATCACCCCTCACACTCACAGGCCCCAGACAGCAGTGGGGTGGAGGAGGCCCCAGAAGGGAGGGGTCCCAGTGTTGCCCTGTGCTCACCTGGCTGCCCTGATCCATGGCAGCCACCAGAGCCACTCTGCCTGGGGGAAGAGGATGAGACACATCAGATGGTCTGGTGACCCTGGTGCTGGCCCCTCTGACTGCCAGTCATGGCTCTGAAGGAGAAACTGAGCCTCCCTCTGCTCCTCTGGAGAGAATCTCCCCGGAGAACTGCGGGGACAGGCAACCTTTGGGATCAGTGTGCAAAGTCTGCTGGCTCCTGGCGCGGGATGTGGCAGGATCAGCTGAGATCCTGCCCTGCTCGGCCAGCAATGCCTCAGCCAAGGGCAGCTGGCTGCCAATCTCCCYGGGATGAACCTTTCCCTGGCAGTGCCAGCTGGCACAGGGCAGCTCTGCCCTCGTCCTTGGCCTTGCCCAGCTCTGGAGCACTGWGGCAGTTCCAGGCTGGGAATATTTGGCTGTGTAACAGCCCTCTGCACTATCTTGCTGTTGCAGSCAGCACAACTCCTCCCCTGGCTTTCACAACACACTTCCACAGCAAAGGCTGGCAGTGCAGGGATGATGCCAGGGGAAAGCTGTGGGATGGATGTGGAGGTGACAGGGATGAGGGGCTCTGTGGTGCCACACACAGGGACCAGCATCTCCACAAGCCCAAGGCATGCAGCAGAGAGACTGTGGCACTCCTGATGTTCAGAGACTTGGCAAAGATGAACGTTTCRAGGAAGGGCAAGATCTGCTCATCTCAGCACTTCCAAATTCCCCACAGCTGCTGCTACCCTGCTCTTTCCACCTTCTCAGTGATCAGCTGCCAAATGCCCTGACATGCTGGGGTTTACTGGTTTCTGCCAGACACGAGGAAATGCTTTGGAAGGGCACCTGGATATTTTTTTGGCAGCTAAAAGGAGGTTAAGTAACCCACTAGAATTTGATAATGTCACGAGAATAATTAAGAMTATAATCTTGGTAGCAGCCCAAGGGTGGGGCTGTTTGCTTCCACTCACACTGTGAATGGAAGCTGGGGAGGTGCAAGCAGCTCCCTGCCCCATCTGAGGGACCTCCCAAGGAAGCACCAGAGGGGAACGGTGAAGGGAATTAACTCAGCCTTTCCCACAGAGAGACAGCAGTGAGGCTTCCCTGGACAGGGAAAGGTAAGGAACGAGCCATTTCCCCCTGGACTGGCAGGTGTTGGAAAGCCCAAACCCAGCCAAGCTCTGGGCACACCATCAGCATGGATGGCAGGACCCTGGGGGAGCAGCACCAGCGATCTGAGCGGGGCTGGTGTTAATCTGCTCCACTTGGAAGGCAATGCCAGTTCCATTGTTACAGCCATAGGAACCCAGCCCTKTTCCTCCAATCCACTGGATCCCAGGAGTGCCAAACGTGATCAGCAGAGCCAGGACGCTCAGGGGCCATGATCCCCACCCTAGGGCCATGCTTTAAGGCAGAAGATGTCTCACCTGCAGTTCTGGCAGAGGACATGGATCCCTCTGGAATGGGAACTTGGAAAGCCCCACTGGATGCCTGTGTTGTCCAGTTTGCRGCAAAGACCCCGAGCCATCCCCAAYAGGCCARTGTGGGGAGTGACCAGGGGCACTTTGGGCACAGTGGCTGCCCCAGGCCATGCCCAGGTGCTGTAACTCCTGCTCAGGAATGGCCCTTGCCCAGCCCACGTGCTGGAATGTCGTGCGAGCAGCTTTGTGGGGGTCAGGCTCTCAAACACTCGGAATCCTTCTTTTATGGCAAACTCCCAAGCCAGCTCAGCCACAAACTCTGCATCCTTGGGGCTGCTGTCACCCGGAGCTGGCCTCCCTGGGGACAAGAGAACAGGAYACTTGTTTGGAAGAGCCTGTGTTATCTAGTCACATCCCAAACAGTACCAGGAGCCCTCATCTGGGCCAGCCCAGCAGGACTCAGAAAAACTCCTCTCTAAGGGATGTGAAAATAACAAATACTTTAACTGTGATAAAGGCTCCAAGGCCAGACCTGGTGTGTGCAAACAAACAGGCCCAGGAGTTCTCACCACCTCCCCGTGAGCTCCTTGGCAAAGGCTGGTGCTGAGTTGGAAGGTCTGAGAGCTCCATCTGTAGGACACAGCTCTGGGCTCCCAACTTKGGCCTCTGCTCAGTTCTCCCAGGAAAGAAAAGACCCCACAGCACAAACAGCAACCAGAACAGGCCTGTGCTGGAGCAGGGAGACAGCTCTGTGCCCGTGGCTGTGCCCTGTTGGGCTCCTCACCTGCCAGGGAGTGTTGGTGACGACCCTGCAGCATCACTGCCAGGCGGAAGAAGGCAAAGGCCAGGTAGAAATCCCAGTTCTCCGGGAGCTCCACTCCCATGTGGCCACAGTACATCTGGCAATACTCCTCTGCCGTGGGAATTCCCAGGTGCCCCAAATCACACTTCCTCAGGCCTGGAAGATGGGAAGAGGCAGCAGTGAGTCAGCTGACAGTGAGCAGCTCAGAGCTCCCTAGGGAAGTGTGAGCCTTGTGGCACAGCCAGGCAGTGCCATGGAGACATCTGCACCCTCCAGGAGCTGCCTGTGCTGGCTCCATATGGAACCCTGGGGTTTGGCACAACCCGTGCCCCAAAATGTACACAGGCCAGTTCTCCTGGTTAGGGTGAAACTGTGACTGATGGAGATCCCTCCTAAATGATGGAACTTCTCAGTTTAACCCTATATTTTTCTGTTTAACAAATGTAAAACTCTCGTTAACCACTCCTGATCTGCTTCACTATTTCCCCACCCAAGAGTTGCCCAGCTTCCCAGCTGGAGTGAGATGGAAAATAATGCAAACCCAGAGCCCTTTCCAGCTGCACTGAGCCCCACTGGCAGGAGCTGATCTGTTCTGAACTCTGGYTCCTCTGTGTGTGCCAAAGCTGCCTCTGCCCCTCTCTGTACCTCTGCGAGCACTAAAGTGGGCTGGCAGGAAGAAGCTCATACAGTTATTCGCCAAATCACACATGGGATCTCCYAGAGTTGCAAACTTCCAGCCCAGCACAGCAAGGACTTCTGGCCTGTCTGGATGAAAGACCAGGTGGTCCATCCTGTATCAGAGGGAAAAAGAGATCAGAAAAGTYTCCAGAGCGGGGGGAAATCCCAGTGCTCAGCAGCAGTAGGTGCTTTCAGTGSTCTTCACTCTCTTCAAAATTTGCCAAGTCCTTTGGAAGGCAGCACGAGTGAAACATTAATTTCTGCAAGCAGAGGATGGAGGTTACTCAGTATTGAACTCCCTGGTTAATAATAGACTAAACTGTGCACTGGAGAATGAAACCAATTTGGGCAGAGCCTCAGATCAGCAGCAGATGCTACTGGACARGGTAACCAGAAAGTGAAGCAGGCAAATCGCTGTGCAGGGGATGTCCTGGTCATTTCAAAGGCACACAGCTCCTGCCATGTGCTGTAGGTTATGGACAGCCCTCGCCAGCCTGAGCCCCATGAGAGAGCAGGAGCCCAGTAGGGAGCACCCAGAGCAGGCAGCCATCCTGCCAGGGTGCACAGAGCTCCTGCAACCTCGGGGAAGGAGCCTTGGTCCAGACCGCAGCCTCGCAGCCCTGGCAGGATCCAGCAGAGCTCTGGCACCACAGAAATACCACAGCATCCCTCCCCCTCACCCCACTCCTGCAGGAGTTCACCTGGAACACTGGCAGGTTTCACCACCCAAACTCTTTCATCATCAAATACCAGTGGCAAGAAGCACCAGGGCTGATTTCTGAGCATTGCAGGAAGAGCTGATGATCCTCCAGTGTSAGACCAGCATTTGCAGCCATTGGGTGAAGAAATTCATTCTCATTCCCTGGGGGATGCTGACCCTGAGCCAAAGCCCAGCTTTTGGCTGCTCTGAAGCTGCTGTCCCAGCCCAATCAGCATCTTCTGGAGTTTGTGCATCACTTTACACTCCCTGTCCTCTCTCCTGCTGGGATGTGCTCCAGGGCAGTACCTGAAATCACCRTGCACCACCGTTGTCTTCTGGGATTCAGGAAAATGCAGAGGCAGCCACTGGATGAGTCTCTCCATGGCTGGGATAACGTGAGTTTCCACAGCTCGATACTGCTTTGTCCAGGTCTCAAACTGCTGCTGGATGTAATTTCCTGGAACAAAGGAATGAAGGCTCCCAGGAAAAGGCACAAAGAGGCCTCAAAAGGGACACAGAAAAAGTCAAAACAGCCAAAGATATCCCAGTCCAGAGCCCCAACTTAAGCTCCAAGAATTTAATTGCAATTTTCAGGGGTCTTATAGATTCTTATGTGGGCACTGGATTTAATATTCAGGTGGAAATAATCCAATCCTGGACAAAAATGTAACTTCTCCGCCAGCTCCAGGAAGCTGAGCAGCTCTGCAGAGGGATTGGAGGGGATGCTTGGGGAGGTTTGGTCAGAGATGGCAACAGTGAAGTTACTCATGTACCCTGGCAGAGATGGCAACAAACATGGCAGGGAGCTCTGGGAACTAGAAGAACTCTAGGAACTCGCAGGAAACCTGGATTTAAAGAGCYCTCCACACCCTCCCACCACACCTGGGGATTCAGACTCTGGACCACCCATTTTTCCTTTCCCGCCCGCTCCCAGTTTGGTCCATCCTGCCAATCCCTTGAAATGCTGACACCCAGGAGAAGAAAAGCTCCAGAGCCTCCTCTCACCGTGCTCCYCGAGCTCCTGCAGTGTGGCTGCTCCAAGGTGCAGGCTGTGGATCCTGGCCAGGATTTGTGCCATGGCACCATAGCAGGCCCTGCGCTGGTGCGGCGGCACTGCAGGCAGGGACACGGCACGGTGAATGTGGCCAGCACGGTGCTCCAGCAGGTAGAAAGGGGTGCCAAGGATGCTGGGGAAACAAACTGGGATCAGTGGGGCTGTCAGGCTGCACACAAACAYCAGGAACTGCAGACACACATTGAGCTGCARTGCAGAGMCTKATTCCTACAGCCAGCATGGATCTGWGCAGGCTGCAGGCTCCTGTCACAGATTTGCTGTCTGAGATCTGGCAGCTGAAAAAATCCCTTCTTTATTGCAAACCTGAGAACTCTGAGTCAGCGGGAAGCCCTGCAATATTGCTTTATRGCTGCTTTTTGGAGAGCGTTTGGATTAATTACTAAAACGGCACACCTAAACCAAGCCAAATAAAAGTAATTCTGTCCTTTGAACTTGTAGAGGCTTCTCCAGCCCCACACTGCACAAATGTTCATTGGACCAAYGCACTTTGTGAGCTCTGCTTCCTTCTCTCCTCATCTTTGGGGGAATTTGGCTGAAGCTGTCAAGCACAGTGAAAGCTGAGGGGCAGGATTACCTTCTGTCCTCACAGAGAGCGAGCACAGGGGGCACAGGAACACCAGCCTCTGAGAGAGCCTTCAGGATCCTGCCAGGGAGGGAGAGAGGCACAAGGGAATCAATCCTGGAAAGCTGGAGGCAAACATACAATATCAGAGTCTGGGCTCAGTTTTAAACACACTAAAATAAGGTGGCTGGGGGGAGGTGAAAGGAGCACACACACACACACAAATGACCCAGAGSCCCCAGACCTATCCCACACTCTGGAAAACAAAGGAAGGCCACAACTGATCCTCCCCACAAGTCCTGCTGCTCTGGTGCTGAGGCAGCTCCTCTGGCACAGCAAACCACAGCAGAACCCTCTCACCTGTATTCCCTCAGGACAGAAGGGCCTGAGGAGCCATCTGGAGGCTCCTCCTCCTTCTTCAGCACCAGCAAACGACCTCCAAACTTCACCAAATAGCTCCGGGTGGGCTCCCCATGGTCAAACTGCCGTAACTCCACTGGGCCTGGGAGTCAGGAGCAGAGGGTCAGCACTTCTCCAGGTTTCCCATCCCCTTCCTGTACCTGGGACTGAGATCTACTCTGTCCCAAACCCCTGGGGAACATGGCAGTGGCTCACACATGGCTCACAGGACACGAATATTCCTGGCATCTCTTTGCCAACTTGTGCTCACCCCCTCCCAAATGAGGAAGTCCTAAAATGTTGTTTCTCATTTCTGGGAAACAGTGATGGATCACTGAAACTGCAATGGCTGTACTCTTGTTTGGAGATTAGGAGCCTTTCCTCAGTGATATTTTTCAATCCATCTGATATGATGGAAAAAGCCAATGGCTTCAGATTATCCAAACTTTCTGGCTGAAGGGCCAAACCCACTGCAATACCTGTTGGGTGGGCAGCAAGAACATCTTCAAGGTATTTTTGCAGACGATCCTTTGGGATTTCCATGCCTGGTCTCACTGAATGAGTGTAGGGGACAAACCCTCGCAAAGGGAATCCCAGATGAGTTTCCAGCTCTTTGAGTGCTGCTTCTGGATCATCAACCTGAAAGCAAGAGGGAGACAGTAACACTGGGTGACAGCTAAAAGACAAAATTTCCTGGGAAAGAGAGTCCTCCATGTTTGGGATTTCTTTATCTGTGAATTCATCAGCACTGATCCACTGACAAACAGGAATTCATGGAGCTGCCCACCTCAGTCTCTGCCCTGGACACGTACCTGTGATGGTGGCACAGGCACTGGGAGCTTGGGCTGGGATAAGAGCTGGAATTCTCTGTGGGCAGTCCAGGGGAGTGGAGATCATTCTTCCCACCAGTCCCACTCTTGTTCTTTCCCCAGGGGTCCCTGTGCTCACTGTCCCCAAAGCCTGGGGGGAACCTGTCAGTCCCCAGCTGGCACATCCATGAGGCCTCAGGATTCCTAGGAATTCATTAATTGGGTCTTATTTTCTTATATGAAATGGATGTGGTTGTCTCAGCCACAGGATTGGGGCTGTTTCTCCAACAGGGAACTGAGGAACAAAAGAAGAGACTTCCCTGAGGTGACACCRGGTTTGGAGCCATGAATGAAACAGCCCAGAGCAGACTTTGGCAGTAATCCCTGCTTTAACCCCACCACATCCTGCAGGAACAAAAGGCTTGGCAAGAGTCAGMCACCACAAATCCAGAGCTGTTCAAACCAAACCGTTTCTGGACCCAAAATCCATCCCYGAATCCCACCCTGGCTGTGTCACTTTGTACCTTCACCGTTTTCATGCCAAGCTGGGCTGCTGCCTTCAGGTTCTGGCTGCTGCTGTCCAGCAGGACRGATTCCTCGGGCTGGATGCCCAGGCACTCCAAGCACAGCTTGTAGATCCCAGGATTTGGCCTGGGCATCCCCTCCTGATGGGATTCAACCATCTACAGCAACAACAGATGGATCGTGCATGAGCTTGCTGTGACCACAAACATCTGGGCAGTGCTGGAAAAGGAGATGGGAGGGTGGGAAAGAGACTGCTCCGATGAACATGAGAAATAAAGGACGTGGAGCTGGATAGGCCRTGCTTGCAGGGACTGTGTGGGTACCAACTGCCTTGGCTGTGGCTCCTCAGCTCAAATCAAACAGGATCAGYGAGTCCTTGGATGGAACACAGCCAAGGAGATGTCCCAGTGTGGGAGATTCACTGGGTGTCCCAGACAGATTGCTCGATGCTGTCCAAGGAAGCTTTCAAAGGCTCTGGAAAAGCAGTGTCCTGAGCACTGCACCCAAAGGCAGCTTCACAGCAGCCATGGGGACCATRCCCATCCACCAAAATTGGATCAGAAAAGCTTTGACTCAGTCTCTGAACACTCCCACTGTCCTCACAACTGTGAGCAATCCAAGCAGCCATTCCCCTGCTCCCACAGCACTCCAAGAACAGCAATGAATCTCTTGGATGGATAGAAAGCCAAAGCTAATGGAAATCCACATTTAATTATTTTTCCYTCACTAATTGCCATGCAGAGGTATTGCCTGCTGCTCCAGGAGCACCACACACCAGAGAGGGCATAGGTATTGGAGAGTTGAGGTTCATGGCTAATCTGTGTCATCTCTGCAAAGTGAAGTGTGCTGGGAGACTTTGGTGGGAGAGGGGTCTGTGCTCCTTATCTCACACAGATTAGCATGTTGGGGTAATGTTTTAGTAGTACAGGGGGTGCTTGGCAATTCCTTGAAGAGCTCTTACTCTTTTAAAAAAAAGCTTTTTTTTTTTTTGTATTTTAAAGCAGGCAGGGCACTGAACAATAACATTTATTTCTTGTCTGGTGTTGAAGCTTCCAAGTCCTTTATCTCCATCGCTGCCTGTGCCTGTTACACAGAGACTCGTGCTTGTGTGGGCACTTTGCAGTGGATTTGCAAATGTCACTCAGCCCCTCTCCAAGAGCCTACAAGGAATTATGTCAGGAAATGTTTTCCACTGATGCCAACCAAAATGTGCTGCTCCTCATCTGGTACCTGCACTCAAACAATTTCAGTCGCTGCTTTTACAGGTGGAGGAACTGAACCACATCTRGGATCCATCCAGACTTACCACATCRAAGTGCTGTTGGTCTGGGGGCAGGAAYTTCTCTCCATCCCCCAGGCACAAGTTGTGGCTCAGCAGAGCTGTCTTTAGCCCTTCTGCACGGATACACTGAGCTGCTTCTGCCATTATGGGGAGCTGTTTTATCATCTCATTTCGGATTAAATCCCAGAGAAAAGAGCCCACTGGAACACGGACATTTGCCTGAGAAACAGAGAAACCCCAAGGATGASAATGGGCCAAAAATGGGGTGAAAATAAAAGTGATTGGGTTGCCTGGTCATCTTGATGTTCTGGCAGCAGAAAGCGGGCAGGGAATCTCCCAGCTAAACTGCTTTGCCCAAATAAACAAATGTTCTCACATTCCCAATTCTGCAGCAGAGATAAAGGGCTGGTTTTGGGAAAGAGAAATCACTGGGCCTCTGCCTGCCATGGGATCAAGGACAGGAAAGGAATCTGCATTTYAGACTGAGATGTTTCAAAAGGACATTATTCCAGGAGGAAACTAAGGCAAATTCATCTGACTGTCCCCACACAGGTACCAGGAAAATGGTGAAAACCTGCCCTGCTCAGACAGCAGAGCTTCCCAGTGGAAAATCCAGACCCTCCAACCAAAGGATTTCTTTTTAAAGCTCCTCTTTYCTCACTGGACCTGTTTCCATGCAGTCAGGAAGCACAAGGAGAGTAGGGGGGAGCTGGCTTACAATCTCAAAGCACTGCTGTCCCAATTCCTGCAGRAACTCCACAGCTGTCAGCTCTCCTCTGGAATACTTGAGAGAAAGGCTGTTCTCCCCTCCAGACAGAGCAGCTTGCTGGATGGTGCCRGCTGGAACACAGCTCCGGGCCTCCCAGTCTGCATGGAGAACAGCAGCAAAGCAGGAAGAGCATCAGCAGAAGTGGGAAATCACCTCGGAATCCCCCTGAGGGCAATACATGGCCCAGCACTGTGGGAATGATGTGCTGGGCTGGGGTCTGACCCAGCACAGRGGGAAGAGTTTGGGTATTCTGGGAACTGTTTTCAGTGTGGTGCCCTTGAAAGCTCCTAAAGGTGCTGAAGGACTGCACCAGCCTTGGGTGGGATCAGGTGCTGGCACTACAGGACAGTTTAATTTCCAGGTGGGTTGGGGTGGTCACTGTCACTTCAATGGCTTTTGATGGCACAACAGGTCCCATTGCCATTGTCATGAGTTCCTGGGTGTCTCACCAGTCCCAGAGACACCCAAAAGGGGTATCTCAAATTTATCTTCCCTCCAGGCACAAGAACAGCAGGAGTTCTGGTGAGCTGTGACCGGATCAAGKGAATGSCTGGAGCTGTGCCAGGGCAGGGTTAGGCTGGARATCAGGGAAAGGTTCTTCCCCCAGAGGGTGTCAGGAACTGCCCAGGTTCCCCAGGGAATGGTCCCAGCCCTGAGGCTGCCASAGCTCCAGGAGCRTTTGGAYATCRCTWTCAGRGTGGGATTGTTGGGGTGTCTGTGCAGAGCCAGGGGTTGGTTTGGTGATCCCGGTGGGTCCCTCCCATCTCAGGACATTCTGTGGGATCAGGAATGGGAATACACACCTGTGGCTGTCCTGTGAGGGGCTGGGAGCAGCACCCCGCTCTCCTCAAAGATCACAGCTTTGTAAGAGCTCCCTTTGGATCGCTGATGGACCAGCAGGAGCCGCTGGATCCCAGCACAGAGAAGGTTCTGGGCACGGGCAGCGCTCCTCAGGTACATGCTGGGAACCACAGGAGATGCCAGGGAAACTCACACCTCAACCGAGGAGACAGGCTGGAGCCCAGCTGTAGAATTACAGAGGTAAATGTTCATTTATGCACACAGAATCGTGGAATCACTCATGTTGGAGGAGATTTCCAAGATCAGCAAGTCCAACCTTCCCGGACCCACCAAACCCTATGGCCAAGTGCCACCTCTGCYCATATTCTGAATTTGCAGGGATGGTGACTTCACTCTGACAGCCACTGCAGTGTCCCAGCCAAACCAGGGACACGTGAATGGGGTTTGACACAGGGTCCACATCCCTTCAAGTGTTGGGGACAGTGGGATCACTCATTGCTAACGCACACAAATTACTAATCATAACGATTGGAGTGATTGGAGTCATGTGAGAGTTGGGCTCTGCTCCCAGGGAAAAAGGGACATGACAAGTGGAAATGGTCTCGATCTGTGCCAGAGAAGGTTCAGTTTGGACATTAGCAGGAATTCCTTCACGGAAAAGTTGGTCAGGGATTGGAGCTGCCCAGGCAGGTGAAGTCCCCATCCCTGGAGGTGTCCAAGGAACGCCTGGACGTGTCACTGGCTGCTCTGGGCTGTGTGTTGGGAGGGGATTGGCCATGGGGTTGGACTCG